ATATTGCCAATGCGGAAACTGCATGGCGCATAGCGGGCACCGGCCCGGCATCGACACCGCTTTACCGGTGTGCCACTGACGATGCCGACAACATCAACAGCAACAGCAACAGCAACAGTTGCTAGCCAGGTGGCCATTTCCGTTGGCTTTAGCTGGGTTCCTTATTTTGACACTGCCCTCGCAAAGGCAATTATTATTGTTGCTGTTGCTGTTGTTGTTGTTGCTGCTGTTGTTGTTGCACTGATTTATGAGTTTTTAATGAGCGGCAACTTTACACGAATTGTTAACAACACTCGACTGTCGTCCGCAATGTAATGCCATAAAGTAGCTACTCTTAGCCAGTCACTCTGACATTTTAGCCGTACGAAATGTTGTCTCTGGGATGAAGATGCGCAAATGATACGCCAATGGGCGTTGGAATGCGCACGAACAATTTTATTTTATTTTATTTTGCTTACCCTTTTTCTACCCTTGTCTATCCCATTTTGGGGCATAATAGCCAAGTCATTCAGTCGACAGATTTATGAGCTGAATCTGTGAGCTTTGGCTTTGTGGGTTTGTCGAATGTTTTTAGTTGTTATTGGATTATCGTAATACGATCAGTCTGGAATTTTGCTGTGTGTCTGCTTATCGGCATCAATGAATGATGAGCCCGAAAGCTGGAAGCATTTAGTATATTAATATCATTAGAATGAAATGTTAGTAAGACAAAATTGATCTGATTGGAGCTTATGCGAAGCGAAGTTAGAGAAAACTTAAAAAAATTGAAGAAATTCTGAATAAAATTGGGCTAGGATCTCTCTCTCTCTCTCTCTCTCTCTCTCTCTCTCTCTCATGCAACATTCGTTGCCTCGCCTCAACATTTTTAGTGTCTCTCACACAATCTATACATCCACTCCCTCTCGTCCGCCCCCTCTCTCGCTCTCTTTCCCTCTCACTCTGTTTTGTTGTCGTTTTGTGTGATTGATTATGCATTTTCATATGAACTGGTTGGCCACTTGCAACTTGTTGCAGTTGCCCATATCAAAAGGCGTGCGGCATGCGGGCAGAGCCGCCGCAGACAGTGAGTCGATAATTCCGCTGAAGCAATGAGTTACAGCCCGCAGCCAGTTGAGACAGGCCGGCGGCGCAGTGTCAGGCAGGCGCAAACTGCTGTCTACGGCGCTGTCAGTGACCTTCAGTTGGCGGCACTCAACCCGCAATTAGACAAACTGCACCAGCAGCAAGCTAAAGGATGGGTCCAACAGCAGCAGAGCCAGAGGCAGAGGCAGCAGCAGGGGCAGAGGCAGAGGCAGCAGCGCCCAGGCGCCCGCCGCCTGCCACAGAAGATTTATGTGGCGACTGCAGCAGATCCTTTGAACCGACAGTTCTGACATTGAGAAACCATAATTAATTGATCAGCCCACCAGCAGGTGGGCGTGGCAGCAGGAGTATGCCTTGCCTAAGCACGCCGATCATCGGCTAGATTTATGGCAACCAACACGAAACTGGGGCGCAATGACTGCAATTTGGAAATCAGTCAAGAAAAACAAATGCTAATAAATAAATGACAAGTCGTGACATGCAAATACGAAATGTTTATCGACAGCAGCAACAACAAAAAACTGACTACTGTTAAATGAGTTCAAATAAAAGCAATGTAACTCGCGTCAGCATCCGGTTGAGCAATTGAATTTCTATGGGGTGTGTGCACAGTACGTGTCTCAAAAAAAAAAAAAACCTTAGAAATATATATATATATATACACACACACACACCTATCCGAAACTACGGGCAATGCACAAAATGTTTGCCTTCACACATTTTTCACGCTATCAGCATTTATTTTTAATAAAGATGCGATCAGCTCAGCTCAGCTATGCCTGGCTATGAAGATTTATATATATACACACATATACATATATACATTTTTTTAAATTTATTTATTTATATAGTATATATTGGGGCTCGTATTCATGTTTTTATTTCGGCCAAATTGTGTCACTGGCTTCTTTGGCTTTGATTTAGTGGCTAGACAGGTTAATACAAGATGAGATCATCACTGGCGACGCTCTCGACGACGACGACGGCGTTGACTGAGCGCCAGGGCGCTTCAAAACTGAGCAGCTAAAGTCAACGAAACGGTTCTCTGATTTTTTTTTTTTTTTTTTTTGGCCTTCGTTCAAAATGTTGACATTGTAAAATTGTTTTGATTTGCTGCCATCACAAATCTGTTCAAAATAAACAATGGAAATGCCGTTAGTTCAATTGCTGGAAACAAGTTTGAAAAGGTGCTTCAATACATACGAGGCCTAGGTGGTTGCTCGATGGCAATAAGATTAGGATTAGAGCATCATCACAGCGCGAAGCTGAATAGAATTACTGGCAAGCGAGCTACAAGTAAATAATTAATTCTAATTGTGCGGAATGTCTTGAACTGCTGCCTGACCTTTGGCCAAATGGGAAAACATGTTTTACGGGGTGATCAAAATAAAGACAAAATAAAATAAATACTTATATCCGGCCTGGACTAGACTAGCAGGCACTTAAAGCTTTATCCAATTTAGTTGCAGTGCTTGGGCTTGGGAGTTTATAGCACTTGGCATTGTTAGATCTTCAATCAGGCTTAACGAACAGCCACAACGGCGAGCCCAAGAACACATTCACATTTATCACGCACATTTATCTGCTTGTCAGCCGGAAGGGAGTCGCTAATCCCCCAGCTGCCCAGCTGCCCAGCTACCCAGCTGAGCCCAGTAACCAACCAAATTACGCTCATTTTGCGGCAAACATAAATTTATCAAGCATCACAGAAAAATATATTCGCAAACTACATTGTGAGCGCACATAAAACGTAAGTGCGAGAGATCGAGAAACTCGAAAGCGGCAGAGGCCACGGCTCCTGCTTTAATTAAGTGATCATGAACATGGACAACACACAAAAGCGCCCAAAGGCCACGGCCACGGCCATGGCCACAGCTATGACCATAGCCATAGCATAAATGGCCAAACAAGATTAACCGAAAAGGCGATGGCCTTCAACATGGGCCGGGACCCGACTCGAAAGCGTAACCAGAATCTGAACCTGGATCGCTTCAAATGTCGTTAGAAGCCAGTGAATCTATTGGCCTCAGCAGTGTTGGCAAAGCACAGCAGCAGATATACCCTGCAAGTGTTGTGAGCAGTGGAGGAGCGCTCCTCAGTGACTCCAATTGTAGAACTTTGATATCCTACAGGGTATCTCAATTGAGATTGTTGCAACTTTATTCCCTTTGCCTGGCAGTAACTATACCCTGTATGTGTTATACGTACCTCGCCTATGACTTCAATTGTAGAGATATCCTACAGGGTATCTCAATTGAGATTGTTACAACTTTATTTTCTTTAGCTAGCAGTATTTATACCCTGTATATATTATGAGTATTTCATCTATGACTTCAATTGTAGAGCTTTTAGTGGAATCTTCATTTTGATATGCTCCACAGTCTACAGGGTATCTCATAGTAAACCTGACTGCTCATTGGCCTGCGATTTGTTGCAGCTTTATTTCCCCTGGCTGGCAATCGTGCAAAGCGCATGTAATTTAGCTTAGAGTGTGTATTTTATTTAAGCGTTTATTAGCTGATAAACCGAAATAGATAAATCGTACGACCACAGCCGGGCCACAACCAGAGCCAGAGACACAGCCAAGGAGCAGGGCCAGGCCCACAGCCGAAAAGACGCGGCTGCTGCTTGGACTCCGCTGAAGGTTTTACAGTGTGCCCGGGGCGCGATTTATATGTGTTTTCAGTGCAGAATACACGCAGATAATGGCAAATATTTTAACATATGCACACACGTTAACGCTCACGCCAAGTTAAGAAAGTTGTTTGTTGACGCCCCGATGAAAGGGCGCACTGGCTGCACTGCGGCCCAGGCCAAGCCATGCCATGCCCACAAAACGCATGTACATATTAATGAAGAGTATCTTCTGCTGCCGAGGCTCGTGTTGCTCTTCCTCTTCGCCTCTCGCTCGTTTGCTTGCCTCTTGCTTTATGCATGCCGCGCGTAAATTCTATCTAACGCAATGTCCGCCTCGGCGTCGGCCCGACTTCCGGCTGGCAGCTGTTGTTTGATTATGTCATAATTATACGGCCACCTACCTGACAATCCGACCATCCATATAAAGATGCTATCAGTTTTCACACAAAATTATTACGTTTTTACGTCTCCGGCCAGCGACAATTTTGTATTGCGTTACGACTATTCTACCAATTAACAGGCCTTGCCTTGTCCACTTCTCTCCATCCAAAACTCTATGAAAATCCAAAGCAGCTGAAAACTGAAAGTGGAAAATGAATGCGTGAGAAAACGTGCAACAGCAACAACAACAACAATGGCCTATGGCCAGTTCACATAGCTATATATAAAATAAAAAAACTATATAAGTGTTTTATTTTTTTGCCAGAGGTGTTTTGTCGTTCTCTCTCTTTCTCTCTCGCTTTGACTGTTTGCTGTAATTTTTATGCTGGTCTGTGTTTGCAGTGCCGTTGTATAAATTTTTCAGAGAAAAGCCTGAGAGATAAGCAGAGACGCTGACGCCGACGCCGACGTCGACGTCGAAGTCAACGTTGGCGCTGCTCATGTTTGCGCATAAATTTCAAGTGTCATTTACCCGTCTTCGCACTTGCCGCACATTTTTTGTAAGTGTATTTTTATTTGCTGTTGTTGTTGCTGTTGTTGTTACTGTTGTCTTTTGTTTCTTTCTTTGGTTTTTTGGTTTTTGGCACCTGTCCCTGATGACCAGGCCAATTTCTGCAGGGCTCTTGAGCAGCGTGTTTGAAATTTTAAGTTAATTATGTGTGTTTGTTTTTCTGATTCTTGATTTTGTTTTCTTTGCTTTACGCTCTTAAGCAGGAAATCGCATTACAATATAATTTAAGCACAGCCTAGCCGTACGCACGATGTTTACTTGACTTGCCTTTAATTGTGTTTTGAATCATTTTTAATGTGTGTCTTATTCTCGTCTCTTCTCATTTCAGCAAAAATGAAAATATTTTTGCCACTAGTCACGTGGATAGTGCTACTACTCTCGAGTACAGTAAGTATAAATAGATGTTAATTAACTAATTTATATGCCTTTCTAAATCTCTTCTAAATAAGCTAAGAATCAGCATTCAATACATCCAATAACTTTAGATCTTCACTAACAAAAGAAGTCAGTCTTTTGTGATACTTAACGACCTGACTAATCTCATCAGCTGAGAACAATATGGACTGATAAAGGTGTGTCTGGCTCCGGGTTCAAAGGAAAGTCAGCTTGAGGTCAAGCCATAGATATTAATGGGCTTCGATTAGAGCTGAGGCATTGCCAGTTAGCACATGAACAATAATTAATTTATGACTTTGCCCAGAACTCTTGACTGAGCTTTCACACGAGTCCAGCGGCTATTGACAAATTTACGAGCTGCCAACTCATTATGAAACGAATTTTAATACAAGCACTAAAAACAATACATATAAATAAATAAATATACACATATACATATGTATATACATATTTTTGTATGAGAAATGAGAGAAGCAAATGCTCATAATGATGCAACCCGGCGCGGCTAGAATTTTTGATGGCCTAACGGTACATGTCCGGCCGGCCATGCAAATGAGCCATTAACCAGAAATTATGGCCAAAGAGCTTTACTTTTCGATACTAAGGCTGGAGTCATGCTCTCAGATTTATTAAATTTAACAACAAACTGTGAAATGAGAGAAAATACGAAGCGATAAGTCAGAAGTAAAGGAAAAATTTGACTTGTTGCTTGGCAAATAAATTGGCAGTTTAGACAAGCAGTCGGCAAATGGCATTAGATAGTTGACTTGATGGCGGCTTGAACAGAAAGAGAACGGGAAAACATGTTTGTGCGGGCAGATGGTGTAATGATAGGACAGAGCAAATAGTAAACAAGAGAACTCAAGAGACAAGAACTTTTAGATACTCTATTTAACATAGAAGTGCTTAATATACTTTCTTTAAAAATTGTGTAAAAATAGAAAATAATTATTTCTTTGTTAAAATGAAGGCTTCCCTGGTATCTAATCCTATTTGGAGAGTCTCATCATCATCTAGAGTCACATTTTAGTTGCCAAGCATTATATACCCTTGCTCTAGAAATTAAAGTCCCAGACAGCCGGCGATTCAATGGAACTGAGAAATGGGCAACGAAGAAGACCCGAGCCACAAATCGATGGTAGAAAGCCGAAAAACGTAATGAATAAAAATAGCCGCATTAGCTGTAAAAATGCTTTGATAGTCATCGATTTATGCAGCGGTCTAAAAAGAGTGAGACAGAAAGAGACGGACGATGTGGATGGCGGCGGTCTGCGGTCTGCGGCAGAGCCTGAACCGGTGCTTTATAAATTGGCCAAAAGAATGCTTTAAGCCCTAAGCCAAGCCGCAAGTTCATTGACATTCACCAGCTCACGCATTTGTTGGCTTTTCGCGACACTGTCTCAATGGAGGGAACTTTTTTTGATTTGTTTATTTTTTCTTTTTTGACGTGCTTTGCTTTCTATTTGTGCGCTGTGATTTGATGATTAATGTGTGCGAAAAGGGTAGAGATGTTTTTGCTTTTCATTAATTTGATTAGCCCGGCAGGCAGGCAAGCAGTCAGGCAGTCAGGCAGGCAGGCAGGCAGCAAAACAAATGACTTAGGCAACGAACTCGCCTGGCTGACTTAGTGATACACAAAATGCGAGTGCGCACCTCGAATTTACCCATCGACAGTTAGTTATTATAACGGATGCACTTGAGCGTTGACGGGCGCTGTCATTGTCTCAGTTAACTTGGCTAACAACTTGGCGAACAACAAAAATTGCATTGTGCTCCGACGTCGCGCCGCTCAATGTCATGGGAGTTTCGCTGCAGCAGCAGCAGCAGCAGCAGCATCTTCATTGCAATACACTCACACCTTTAATTGCTGCATGTGATGATGCGACTGCAACTGCTGCTGCTGCACTTGAGTGCATGCGCTGCTTATTGTGCGGCCTGCCAATTGATAAACTGGCGATGGGGCTGCGGGCTGGCAGGAGGCGGCGGTTAGCTGCTGCCGGCTGCTCATAGCTGCATCTATTGTTCAGCAAGGCCGCTAGCGTTGCATGGCGTGAAGCAAAATAACAAACCTAATTGAAAAAAAAAACCCCATCTCACACACACAACGAACTTGTGGATAGAACTTCAACACAAAGTTTTTGCTTTTTTTTTTTTTTTTTGTTGATAAAAATCTACCTAAAACAATTCTCAGACTTAACTTGAACTTGACAGCAGTGAGTGCTTCATGCTCACGCCTTAGTTTTTATTGCACTCTTTAGCCATGGTGGAGCTGCTCATTAGCCGGCTAGAAAGGTGGCAATGCGATTCACGTGTCTTGGGGCCAGCTTCGCAGTAATTGGTTTGATCAGCAAACTGAGCAATCCTGAGCATCAGCCTGAACAGCGATAGTCTTTCAGCTCCATCATAAAACCTTTTACGGCCCAATTGTACACAAGATCTAGACAGGCAAACATTAAATAAAAAATCAAGTTAAATACTTAAATGGGAGCTTTTATGACTGCACAGAGCAGATACTACAAATTGAGAAGTTTTCCCTAACGAACTCTGATATGGGCTAATTTAAACATTATTCCAATACTATTTAAAACAACATGATTTTTCTACCAACAGCACTTATTTAACATTTACTGTTAACATTCATTTAGAGAATCCCACAGGGGTAATTAAAACATATCTAGTATATTAGTTATGTAAATCGCTCGGCAAGTTCAAGTTTATGCTCCGAGATGACACAGTCTTCGGTCAGCTGTTTACCTTTGGCCCGCTTTCTAGCACACATTTGAAGCTTGTGGCAAATTAAGATGAGGAGATAACAAAAAGTTGTCATCTTTCGGCGAATGCCATTAAAAACGTAGCAGGAACTGAAAAAGTCGGCACAGCCATAATGATTTTATTGGAATGGAACGCCGAAACGTAGGAAGTGATTGAGCAGTGTGTACAAAGCAAATCGAAAGAAACAAACGCGAAATATAAGAGCCACACACACACACGCACACACACAATGTGTTACCCAAATGAAACTTGTTTTAATTCGTTTTGCAGTAGCGCAAAAAGGTCTTAAGTGACAAACTCGTTTTTCCTTATAGCTATCTAATGTTGAGCGCTGGTAACAGTAACAAACCGTAGCGTCAGTCACTCAGTCACTCAGGCACACAAATATACACATACATACACACATGTATAAATCTGAGAAAATATGGCAAACAACTTTTGTTTTTGTGTGTGCTTATAAAAGTAAAATCAACGAAGTGTAACAATTAAGCGTTGGCAAAACAACACAAACAGCAGCAACAACAACAGCAGCAACAACAACAACACCAGCAGCAGCAGCAGCAGCTACAACTAAAGACGCTATATGTATATGCCATGAATGCAAACCTGTATGAATTTGCTGCCCATATGGACCGCATCGGGCTGCGGCTGTCGGTTAGGAAATCTCGTTGAAGAAGCGCTGACGTTGATACGCCTGCTAACTTTAGTGTATCTAATTTGAATTTAAATTAGTTTCAAGCCCCACTAAAAGCACAAAATACGAAATGAAACTTGGTAAACACTGCGAAGGTTGCTGGGCGCTGCTGCTGCCTTTGTTGTTTGCATGTTAAATGGGTTAAACTCTGGGTGGAAGACTGTCTTCCAAATGTCAGCTCAAATTTAGAATCTTCTCTTGTGTTCCACATTTTATAAACTGGAATGTTGAATGTTGGCTAGAGGCAAAGTTGCATTTGAAAATAAGCAAAGATTAACATTTTATGCTAGATTTATTACTAATTAATTACCCATAAAAAATAAGCGTATTATTATTATAACTTTGTGCCTTTTTTCATATTCAAAATCATTTTTATTCATCAACGATAATTATTACCTACCGACTATAACCATGTCTCATTTTTCATACTCAAAATCATGTTTATTATTCAACGTTAATTAAGGTAATACCCCTACAAAATACCCATTTAACTATTATAGCTAAGTCCCTTAACTCATCTTCAACTTTTGCCCATTTTCAGGTACATTCACAACAGCAACAAATACAACCCTTTAAGACAAATCCAAACAAGCATAGTCGATTTCGAGGCGAAGTGTTCTTTCTGAATCTCGAAGATGGCTATTTTGGCTGCCAAGTTAATGAGTCCACAGACTATTTGCAACTATACGATCTATCGAAAATCTGCGACGGCAATCAAGACTGCTTTCTTGGTTCCGATGAGCTGAGCAAAGAGCTCAAATGCACAAGTAAGCACCACCCAAAGCTTCTTTCACTTTAAGATAAACTTTTGTTCTCATTGTTTACGTTGTTGTTGTTGTTTTTGTTGTTGTTGTTGTTGCTTACAGATGACTGTGATAAGGATGGCACACAGTGCACAAATGGTGTTTGCCTGAATGGCGTTTGCCATTGCAATGACGGCTTCGGCGGCTGCAATTGCGTCGATCCGGGTAAGTCCTTAGCAATGTGGGCTTGCCTCACCTTGCTTAACCGTACAAATTACATCAAGCAACTAACTAAACAACTAAAACCTCTCTCCTTCACAGATGAGAACGAATGCAAGCAACGTCCATGCGATGTGTTTGCCCACTGCACAAACACATTGGGCAGCTTCACGTGTACCTGCTTTCCGGGCTATCGCGGCGACGGCTTCCATTGTGAAGGTAAGTGCCAAGCCGTATTGTTAGCATAAGCATAATGACCGACAGACCGATGGACCGACTGAGCGACGGACTGAGCGGCCAGCCCAACGAGATCCAACAGCAACAAATGATTGTTGTTGCCGTTTTGGACTTCCGTCAACGTCTGTTATATTATTTGTGCCCGGTTAGCCGCCGCCAGTCTGGGCTGCCCATAGATCTTCATGCTAACGGTTTATTTCGCTGGAAATCTGTGAGCCAAGTCATTTTGAATCGTCTCAAGTGCCAGCCCAGCCTCCATTTGAAAATGTAACAAAAGACGCCACAGCAACAACAACAACAGTAACAGCCAGAGCAATAATATGAAAGCTTTTCTCTCAGCTCACAATAGCAGCCCAGCGCAATGGGATCCCCTCAGTATACTTGGGCAGCGAGGTAATAATAATGACCGTGTAGCGATTACACTTGAGTACCTTATAGCGTCTTTGTTGCAAGTCTGTTATTGTTGAGGCTGTGATCATTGAGATGTACCAAAATGGACCTCGTCGACCAAGCAGTGAGAACAAGTATTATATAATCCAGATTACACTTAAGACTTTCTAATTGTGCAAAGGAAATGTTGCTCTATAAATCAGCCTGTTAGCTTAAAGAGTATTAAATTGTAATGCAGCCGAGCCGAGCTTAGAGTAAACATTCAGCTTAATTTCATGTACCTAAATTACATTGATATGATTATCTGAAGTGTATTTGGATATATTTACTACAAAATGCTGATAGCTTCTCCTTTTCGGGTATCTCTGTGCTCTTCGTACAGCTGCCAGTTGCTTTTGATTTGAGACTGATATAGTTTGTTGTCCAGGTCCCAGGTTAATGAGCTTTTTTCATCGTCTTGTTCGCTCTTTAAATTGCTCACAGCGTGGGCCCAGAAACCCTTCTGCGCACCTGTTCGGCTGTCTCGTCCATTCGACAGTGAAAAGCTGGCAGCCATAATTGGACTCGGCCTAATGTTGCGTAATGAAAACACATTATGGCACCGCAGAGGCAAAGAGAGTACAAGAAAATCACAAACAAAAAAAAGAAGAAGTAAATATAAATCTGAAAGAGGAAAAAAACAATAATAACTAGTAAAGCAGAAGATTCTAAGCCAAGGGACCACTTACCTTAGCAAAAATCTCTTCCTACATTCGCTGCTGCTGCTCTTGCCACAGCTGATGATGATGATGATGATGATGATTGTAATGATGGCGGTGGTGCTGGTGGTAGTAGTGGTTGCTGGTTGCCAGTGGCTGGTGGCTGCTCGCTGCTTCCACATAGAAGAGAAAAACCACAACATTTGTAGCAATGCTTTCACGCCATGGAACAGAGATAGACATAATCGTACTTACGAGCATACACGTCTGTTAGACGAGGAATCAGTGTCATGTAATCTGACCCCAAACATGGACACGCCAGAACTTTCAACACTCAAGAGCATGTGTCTAGCTGAGGCTGCTGCTGCTGCTGCGGCTGCCTCTTCCCTATGCCCACCTCTCACTTCCCACTTTCCACATGCCGCCTCTCGCTTCCCGCCTCTGGTTGCCAGCGATGCAATGCGATAACGAGCGCAAATTTCACAAACGCTCTGGCATTACCCCACTAAGTATGAAGACGTTGCCGAGATTCTAGATTACATGTGACGACTTCTCGCAGCGACTGTCAGACGGCTGGGCGGGCACATGGGCGGGCGGCGCTGGGAGGGTGGAGTCACTGTTTGCAACGACCGGCAGGCATGCATAAATTCTGGGCAGTGGCATGTAACGCCAGCATCGCATTGCAGTCATACGAGCATTATCTAATTCCACTTCCAGCTCCTCTCCTTTTCTCTCTCCATCTCCGTCGCTCTTACTCTTTCGCCTCTTGCACGTATTCACGATGCATTTGATTACGACAGCGTCCGAGTTCCATAGAACAGCTCAAACTGCCTGCAATCATTTGAATCAACCTGTTTTAAATACGCTGAGAAAGTCTCGCCCGTCCATGTGCGTGGCCCGAGCACTTGAACTCCGTGAAAAGCCACAGACACGCACCCTCGGCTTTCCCACCGTCTGCATTCAATCAGAATTACCACGAGTATATCTAATTAAATCTTGATGAATTGACTTCAAAACGCCTCTGCATTAGTACGTAATTACTTTTAATTACTCGCTGGCTAATTTCTGCTTCAATCGTAAAGTTTCTTAACCCTAAACGTTGCTAAAGCTAAATAGAATCAGGATTTATGTAATTTTTTAAAATAATTTTTATATAAATATTTCTTACTCGGTTTGCAAAAAAAATTTTCTCTTTCTTTTAATACTTTTCAATTAATAAAAAATAACAAATAAAAATAATAAAAAATTTTAACTACTATTAGGCAATTTCAATAGTCAAAATATTTAGCTTTGAGTAGATCTTGGATAACTGTATGATTATTTCATATAGGCAAACTCAGCCCGCTATCCGCTTTCTCTATAAACAGTTTCAGCATATTTTTCATTCGTCTGCCACACAAATTCGCCTTTATTACTATTCCTTTCGTATGCGCTGTGCCATATCCATTAATTTTCCCTGACTAGCATTTGACTTTATTAATCGTAAATATATCCAGTTTGCATGGCTCGCTCAAGTTCACCCAATAAACTTTGCAATACAAATCATGGCCTGAAGTTGGCCTAGCCAACTCCAGCTCCAACTCCAGCTCCAGCAACGACACATTTTGCGTGGAGGGAGATCTGAAGCGCCTACCTGTTTGGCTGGCAGGTGTAACGGTATCAAGTGCTGCAACCTGTTGCAGACCTGGTGGCACATTCCCATTATTTCATGTTCATAACTCAGATGCGTGCATTTGGCGATGGCTTCGTTAACGCATCGTCAAAGTCCAGTTATGCAATGAAGTCTTAACTCTCAACCCAACAAGGCAACACACAAAATTGCAATACACGCACACTCACACACACACACACACATTGGCACCCAGTTGTCTGTTGGTTTGTGGCAAGTCAATAGTTGCTTCTAATGTATTTGTCTTGCAACGCGCCAACCAGAAAAATGGAGTGAGTGCCTCCAGTTGAGTGCTAAATTTATAACCATTTTTGCGGCAGCCAAGCGACAGCAACAACAACAACAACAACATGAGGAAAAAAAATAAAATAATCTTACAACGTTGTTGCAGCTGTTGTTGTGTTTCGACTTATTTTTTGCTGTGTTGTGGCATGTTGTTGTTGCTTATTTTTGTTTGTTTGCCACGTTCACCAGGCGGCTGCTCCCTTTCGTTTCGCTAACTGGGGCAGATCATTAAAACGGATAAAATAGATTGTGGCCCACGTAGCGCAGCTTTTGGCGGCATTGGCAACGCATGAGGTGGTAGCATTGTCGGCGCTTAATGCTGTCCTCAAAAGCCGCAAAACGGCACTGACTTTACTCCAGCTCCAACTTCAGCTCCAACTCTCAGCTCTCAACTCTCAGCCAACCAGTTCGACGCACAGTTTGTGATCAACGTCAGCTGATAAGCGTCGCTAGCTTTTGTAGAGCGAACGTGTTTAATCTGCCAATATATATATATTGTATATAG